TTCCTATTGGGAATGACCTAAAACTTCATTTCCCTATTAATAAAATACACCTAGTTGCTAAATGTAGGCTTCAGTTTTAATATCCTCTATTGCCATGGGAAATGTTAGGAAATTTATTTTTAAATAGATGTTTTGAAAGACTCTTAAGTTGTAACACCTTATGCTAGGATGCCATTCGAGCTGACCCAGCAGCCAAAGTTCTCACTTGTGCTTCTTCATTCCATTTTAGATCTCAGCAACCACCACAGTCACACTTGTTTAGACATACTATACCCAACCACAGTTAATTTTCTTTGGCTTTCTTGTGGCAGCTCCAGCCAGTGTTCCTGGTGCTACACTTGCTGATGTTCATGTTCACACTGCTAATGAAAGCACTGTGTAGAGTAAATGTATGCTACACACATTTTGTGCCTACTGTATAGTTTTTGTACCTCAGAAATTGTGTTCAGTGTGATAATATAACCTGCTCTACTCTTACAACTGTGTCACATGTGTGGCATACACTAATTGCATATTCTGCACGTTTTCATACAGTCAACCATATTGATGGTTATGGATTCAGCCCACTGTCTTTAACTTTGCATTCCCTGTGTTAAAGTCTGTGCCCTTGCACTTGTAATCATGATTGTATTGTGTCTTTATACTGGCATATAGCTGTTCTATGAAAATCCCATGCACTCACAGATGGGAATTTTGGGAGGTGACCAAATCTTGGATGTCATGGATATATGATCTTTGATTATTCCATAGCTGTGTATGATTTTAGGAGGTAACAGAAAGAGGTGATTCACTGTGGATATGAACTATATGAGTGTACATATATCTCTCCTGCTCCTTTGATGACCTTTTCCTTTCCTGTGCCATGCCATGCACAAGTATCCTGTTTTCCATTCCCTTCTACCCAGCCACCATTCCTTGGATTTAGCAAGCTATGGACTGAAAATTCTTCATTTTTTCTTTTGAAGAGAATAAAGGGAAATGAGACAAAATAAAATAGGGTCAATCAAAATAATAGAATGGACATAGTACATGACTTTAAAATGAAAAACATGCTGATCTATAATGGCTACTGTAATGCCTCTTTTTGTCTTTTGAAGAATTGCCTGTATCATCAAGCATAATAAATCAAACAAAACAATACAGAACAAAACCAATTAAAACAAAACAAAGGAGACATTATAGGACTTCAAAGAAGATAGTCAAATAAAGATGGTATCATAGTATATCTTGTCTTCAAAGTAGTTGCCTATACTTGGTACTATCAAATAAAACAGAATAGAGTAAAATCAATCAACGCAAAACAATGAAAGCAATGCAGGTTTTCAAATGAAGCTGATAAGAAATCAAAAATGGTTATCATAATCTATCCCGCTATCTATGGAACAGCTATCCATGCTATCAAATCTAATAAAAGTAGCAAACTGAAACAAAATAAAACCAAATTAAACTGAGCAATGAAAACAATATGTTTCAGATCATGATACTGGATTAACAGTGAATACTGCCTTCCATTTTTAGACAATTCCTTCCCTTCCAATTTCACAGGGTGTATTATTCATTTTGGATTCCACTAACACCTTTAATTTTTGTATGAGGGATGTAACCTACTATTTACCTAAGTGATTACAAAACTTTTTACCACTGATCATGATCCCAAGTTGTATCCATTTACTTACAAGAGCCACAAGGTTATCTTTCTTTATGGCTGAATAGTTTTACATTGTATAAACATTTGTCATCTTAAACTTTCAGTCTAAAACTCCCTTTTTTGGTAAGTGTATTTCTTATATAAAGCACATTGATGTGTCATGTCTCCAGATCTGCTATGCCTGGGTTTGTTTTTATTGGTGAATTGAGGCCATCTATATTAGTAATTAAGGGCAACCTTTTTTGCCTCATCTCTGGCATGCTGTTTTTCTGCCAATGGTTGTCTACTTTTTCCATATATTCCACTGTCTGTCCATTCAGTGAGTACACTCATCACTGTTCCTGAATTCCTGGCCTATTTTTTCTCTCTCTAGAATGAATGTCCTTCATTATTTTTTGTAGGATTGGTTTGTTGGTCATGAATTCTTTTAGTTATTCTTTGTTGTGGGAGTATCTTGTTTCTCCATTAATTTTGAAAGATAATTTTGCAGGGTACATCCACCTGGGTTGGACATTATTTTCTTTCAGGACTTAGAATACTTTATTCCCAGGTCTTCTTGATTTGATGGTATGTGTTGAGAAGTCTATCATAATTCCTACGGGTTTTCCTTTTTATATGATCTGTTTCTTTTTTTCTGATGGCTTTTAATATTGTGTTCTTGTGTTGAATTTCTGGAATCTTGATTATTGTATATCTGGGTATAGATTTCTTTAGGTTATAGTTTGCTGGAGTTTTGTATGTCTCACTTATTTGAATATCATTTCCTTTTCCTATACTTGAGTAGTTTCCTTTAATTATTGGTGTAAAAAGGATTTGTATTTCATTTGTGTGCACACCTGCATTTTCCTTCACATTTTTTCTTAAATTATACATCTTTGTGTCATCCTGTAGCCTTTGTATTGCTACTTCCTGATTCTTTGTTATTTTGAAAAGATCTTTCCTTTCAAGATTACAAGCTGAAAATCTGTCTTCAGGGTTTGATAGTCTATTTTTAGTTACTTTCAGGCAATTTGCCAACTTTTAATTTTCTGATTATCTCTTTGAATCTGTTTCATGTATCCTGTCTTTTTTTTTATTCTTCATTGAAGTTTTCCCTCATTTTCCTATTCTCCTCTACTCTTGCATCTGTGTCTTCTTTAGATGTGTTTAGTATTTCTTATTACATTTCTCATTTCTTCTTTCCTTGTGATAGTATTTCTGTTCTAATTTATTTTGTAGTCTCTTGAAGTTGATTGTTTATTCAGTTATTGCTACTTCAGAAACTTCAGGAGTGTTACTCCCTGTCTCTTCTGTGTTTACATCTCCTTGACCAGTACTGCTTCGGTGGGAGGCCAGAGACTGCCTTTTGTTTCTTCCTTTTCTCATGTTCCTGGTTTCTTCTGTAAAAGTGAGTAGTAGGGTCCCTGGCTCTTCCTATGTTGTGTACAATTTCTCTGAAGCAAGGCTATTTGCTTTTTTTTTTTTTTAATTTTCTTTAAAAGGAAAAAGAGAAAAACACAAAACAAAACAAAGTGGTGTAAGGGTACACGTAATACAGAACTATAAAAAAAAAAGTAAGAAATCACCTGTTAATAGATTACATATTATCATCTTAGAAATAGTTGCTCAAATCACAGTATCAAAGATTACAAAGTGGACATTCAAACAGAGAGACTGCAAACAGCTGTGTTCAATGATCCAAAAACATTAATATAGTCAGCTATTTAACACCCCTAAACACACTTGCTGTTACATCCGTTAGAGCTCTTTTTTCCCCTCTCTTTTTTACAACAAAATTTACACATTTTGGATTTTATTACTCCTTAGTTCTTATTACTTTTTTTGGGGGGGAGAGAATAAAGTCAAATATGGCAAAACAAAGCTCTCAGTCAAAACCAAGGATAGACATAGCACATGATGTAGAACAGAGTACAAGGTTATTAACAATGGTTATCAACATTGTCTCTTGTTTCCTTAAAAGGAATTGTCTATCTCATTAGATATTATAAAGTTGGACAAAACAGTGGAGAACAAGACCAATAAAACTTAGGCATTGTGAACATTACAGGACTTCCAAAGGAGACAATAGTCAAACCAGAATGGGCATCTTTGTGAATCTTATTGCCTTCAAATTAGTTGCCTATACCCTCAGACTTGCTACTATCGCACAGAATGGAACAGAGTCTAATCAGTCAAAACAAGATCGTGGGAGTATTACAGGACTTCAAAACAAGTTAATAGGAGATCGAAAAGAGTTACTATTATATATCCTAATTTTTTAAATTTTTCCCTCTACGGCCATACCACCCTGAACACGCCCGATCTCGTCTGGAGTAATGTTTTCACTGGAAAAAAGAAGGGTGAAAAAAATGTCAAAAGCATTAGGGGTTAATATAAATACAAACTGAATCTCCTTGAGGTAGGGCATCTGCATATGCTTTGTGTATGCATGGAAAGGTAGAAAAAGCAAGTTCTCTCGCATAATTGCGATGGTGCATGAATGATTTGTAGATATTATTTCAAAAAATGAAAATTCTAGCTGGGTGTGGTGCCAGATGAGTGTATTGCTAGTACTCAGGAGGTTGATATCAGAGGATTCTTGGATGTTCAGTTTCACCCTGGGCTACACAATCAGTTCAAGCCCAGTCTTATGTATAAGGGAAAAACCTGATTCAAAAATAAAAACCTGACACACTGAATGAGGTAGGACAAAGTGTAGAAGCAGTATAAAAGCAGGTGAAAAGAGCCACTTGTAGGTCTGCAGACATATCAGTAATTAAGTGGAGAATGGTGTTCTGTTATTAGAAGAGCACGTGAAAGTACATACAGCATGGGAAAGCAGTGGATGGTGGTGACAGGCAATAACATTTTCTGAGCAAGAAATTTCCCTATGAAAAATGCCTGTTGTGTATAAAAATATATGATCATAATAGTGCTCAGTTAAATTCAGCATAATATATTATACATTTTGTGTCCAAAATCTTGTAATTTTTACTGTTGGGAATAGGCAGTGACCATTTTGAAAGGCATGCTTGCTGGCTTCTTTCTCTCAATAAGTATCTGAATTAGAGATAAGTTGTGTGTTGTATAGCTTTTACTGGAGTGCAGAATCTAACACTATGATAACTGCACAAACTGCAGTTATATACACTCCTTTTTGTCAAAAAGCAACCATGAAGCAGCTTTTTTTTGTTACTCTGTTTCATTTCTTTTCAGTCAGAGTCTCACAATGTAAATCATGCAGATGTTGAACTCACTCTGTAGCTCACAATGGTTTTGTAGTCATGACTGTCTTTTTGCCTCAGCCTCCTGAGTGCTGGGATTACAGACATGTATCACCACACTTTGCTCAAATATATGTATGATCCTCTAGGAATCAGTGACGTTTGAGGATGTGACTGTGACCTTCACCAGTGCGGAGTGGACTTTGCTGAGTGCATCCCAAAAGCAGCTCTACAGAGATGTGATGGAGGAAACCTTTCAGAGCATCATGACTATAGGTAAGAATGAAATCTCGTTCTTATTGATACACTTAGAGGAGATGGCTTTTTGCTCTTCAGTGCAGTTTCATTAAATAGAATGTGAAAACAATTAGAAAAATTAATTTGGCCTGCTTATATTATATCATGAATCTAATTGGCATGTGTTAATTTTTATGTAATAATGTAGTGACCACTTATACTTCTGTGTCTGTAATTCAGGAAGACTCTTGGGTAACCAGAAAGTGGAAGAAGAGTGCAGTAACCTCTGTAGAAATCTAAGGTAATTTGTCCTTTTAAGAAAAATGTATAAGCCTTAAGACACTACATAAGGAAAAGGACTAAAATAAAAAAAAAACCAACACCATTTTTAAATTTCTTTAATTTCACAAATACTCTCCAAAACTATATGCAGCTTGAGTATGTATAGTCTGAAAAGTAAACACAAAAATATTCCAACATAAGAAATGGATTTATAAGTAAAATCATACAAGTGACACTATCTCACGTGTAATACAAAAAAATGTTGCTTTATTGTCAACATCATGAACATGTATGACGTTGTTATTAGGTGTTTTGTGTAGCTGTGAATGAGAGGTAATGGATAAAGGAAAGTGATATTTTAGAGATGGGAAAGACAAATGGGATAAAAGTAGAACAGAAAGAGTAAATAGGAAATGGTGTTAAAATTAATCAACATGTGTTATGCATATATATGTAACTCAAAATAAAACTAAAATTACTCTTATAAAATATACCAACTGAAAAATTTCCAAAAATATAACAGTCTTTAGGGAAAAGCTTTCTCAAAAGATCCCTCATATGTATTCTTTTAATTCATTATCAAAATTCTTAGCAGGCATCAATTAATCTCTATTAAGTCATTGATATGGAGAGGTGTTTTATTTGTTTTTTTTTATTTTTACAGAAATGAAGATGTTGAGAAATACCATCTATATAAAGGTTGGAATCAGCACAAAGAATGCTTTCTTTGCTCTCACGATGCTAATGTGCATATGAAACCATGTGGTTTAAAACCAATTGAAAGTCTTACTTGCAGAAAGCTTTTGATTGGGCCTTTTTCACTAAACATGCCCATCATAGCTCACACCTCAGTAAAGACAGATGAATATTTTGAACTCAAAGGGAAGCTGTTTAAATGTAATGAAAGTAGAAAATACTGTGATGATTTGCAGTCCTTTCAGAATCCTGCAAGAACAGAAGCTGGCAAGAAACCACGTGAACATGATCAGTGTGAGAAATCCTCCTCTGGTCTTAGTGAAAGAACTCATCTTAGAGACAAGATATTTGCATGTCCAAAAATTATGAATGCCTCCAGGAGGCCCAGTGATGTTCAGATCTATCAGACAAATCACAGTTGGGGTGCACCCTCTGCATGTAAGCAATATGGGAAAGCTGTCAGCACACATACTATTTCTCAACAACAGGAAAGAATTGAGATAGAGGAGAAAAAGTATGTATGTAAGCAATGTGGGAAAGGGTTCAGGAAAAGTTGTTATTATCAAAAGCATGAAAGAACTCACACTGGTGCGAATCCATATATATGTAAGCAATGTGGGAAAGCTTTCACTACACAGTATTATTGTAAACTACACGAAAGATCTCATACTGGTGAGAATCCTTATATATGTAAGCAATGTGGAAAAGCTTTCAGTATAAAGAGCAGTTGTAAAAGACATGAAATAACTCACACTGGTGGGAGACCTTATGTATGCAAGAAATCTTATGTATGTAAGCAATGTGGGAAAGCTTTCACTACACAGGCAAATTTTAAAGTACATAACAGATGTCACACTGGTGAGAAACCTTATGTATGTATGCAATGTGGGAAAGCTTTCAGCAAACAGAGTAATTGTAAACTACATGAAAGAACTCACACTGGAGAGAAACCTTATGTATGTAAGCAATGTGGGAAAGCTTTCACTACACAGGCAAGTTTTAAAGTACATGACAGATGTCACACTGGTGAGAAACCTTATGTATGTAAGCAATGTGGGAAAGCTTTCAGTACACACAGTAGTTATAAAAGACATGAAACATCTCACACTGGTGATAAAGCATATGTATGTAAGCAGTGTAGAAAAGCTTTCAGTACACAGTGGTATTGTAAACTACATGAAAGATCTCACACTGAAAAGAAACCTTATGTATGTAAGCAATGTGGAAAAGCTTTCAGTACACAGGCGTATTGTAAACTACATGAAATCTCTCACACTGGAGAGAAACCTTATGTATGTAAGCAATGTGGGAAAGCTTTCACTACAAAGTCAAATTGTAAAGCACATGACATATGTCACACTGGTGAGAAACCTTATGTATGTAAGCAATGTGGGAAAGCTTTCAGTACACAGGGGTGTTGTAAACTACATGAAATATCTCACACTGGAGAGAAACCATATGTATGTAATCAATGTGGGAAAGCTTTCAATAGACAGAAGAGTTGTAAAAGACATGAAAGAACACACACTGGTGACAAACCTTATATACGTAAGCATTGAGGCAAAGCTTTCATACACAGGAGTATTGTAAACTACATGAAAGATCTCACTGGTGAGAAAGCTTATGTATGTAAGCAATATGGAAAAGTTTTCAGTACAGAGTTATTGTAAACTACATGAAAGATCTCACACTAGAGAGAAACTTTATGTATGTAAGCAATGTGGGAAAGCTTTCAGTACACAGAAATTGTAAACTACATGAAAGATGTTATACTGGAGAGAAAGATTATATATGTAAGCAGTGTGGAAAACCATTGATCACACATAAATATTAATATGAAAGAATTCATACTGCAGAGAAATCCTATGTATGTAGGAATGTGGGGAAGGTTTCAGCAGAAAGAGTCATTGTCAGAGACATAAAAAAACTCAAAATGAAAAGAAACTACACGTGTGCAATTTTTTAAGTCTTTCAGTACACATAATTATTGTAAAATAAATGAAATAAGCCACAGTGTAAAAACCCTATGTATGCAAGCAGTGTAGAAAATGATTTTTTCATTAAACAGACATTAAAACTCATTAGGGAGAAACCCTATGTCCATAAACAATGTGGAAAAAGATTCAGTGCACACAAGTCCATTACCATATATATTTTATATCAAATCCAAAAGGATCACTAGGAAGAAACTATATGTGTAAGACTATTTTAAAACCCTGTTAAGATGTTTCAGTTGGTGAAATTCTGTAGAAATAATACCATAGTATTTTATGTCAGTGTTGCCTTAGATATGTTCCAAATAAATCAAATTCCAGGTGATTTATTTGGAACAAATACATACATTATGTGGTTTATAATGCATCACATATGTACATTATTAATGTACAGTGTTTAAAAATATTGAGTTGCCACAATGAGGAATTTCTATCTGAGTGTCTGTGCTTAATCCATAATGTCTTAATTAAGCATGGTTGATAAAACTATTTTTTTCCTTTCAAGTACCATTAGAATTTGTGCTGTTTTCATTTTATCCTCAAGTTTGGGAAGAATAGGCTATTAAATATCTTAATTTTGTAACTTTTGCTATTAGAGTTTTGCACTATTTTGCTTTTCAATTACTGTGTGGGTTTTCTATATTCTATGTAAAAAATGATATTTTTAATTTGATGCTATATTTTCTATTGATATCTATTTTCAAAGATTTGTCAACGTGAGTTTTTGACACAGTTAGTCATGTTCACACAACTTGTAGATTAGCAAATTTTGTTTTTTATATGACAGGGTTCCTGCTTGTATACCATCAGTACTGTATACTGCATCATGTACATATATTGCGTACTTTTATTTCAATGCATTCATTTCCATGAAGTTTTATTTTTTCTTGTAAATCTTCTGTTTACATTGCAATGGCTTAATTTGTTTCACTGGTAGTTTCTTAAACATAGATACCAAACATAAACCATACTGCTCAGTATTTTTCATTGCCAGAACCCCACTGTTGGAGAATTCAAGATATCAGAACTAAGGTATTGGACTTTGAAAACTGACTGGGGCAATCAAGGACATGGAAACAATCAGAGAAGTTTATAACAACGTTGAAATGAGACAGAACTTATGAATCCTGTAAGAACAAGATGACACAAATTCTTCACGGTACATAGTTGTAAATCTTACCTCTAGCAAAACAGCAACATATAGCTACAGGGGAAGAGGGGGGAACTTTAGCAAGATTCATCTCAATGTCCCATTTCACCACATGACCATAACTTGTCTTTATAGGAAATCATTATTTACAGTCATCTGTCCAGAATATGTATATTGTTATATCAACCATAACAACACTTTGAATGGAATGCTCATCATCTGTGGAACTTTTCTCAGGAGCATGGTCACTACTGAATATTATGAGATTAATGCCTTTATTCTATTCCCTAATGCACTGATGCCAAAATATTTTTGGTAATTATTGTTTTTACATAGGAAGCTAAAATACTGGCACCAAGAAAAATGAAACTCCTCACATACATCAATCAACTTATTAAAAACAGAAATGTCTGAAATTTTTATTTATCCTGTGTTCTTGACCATTTTAGGATACATTACTATGATGATATTTTTCATCGATTGTTAAGGTTAATCATCTAGTTTTTTTTTTTTTTTTTTTTTTTTTAATTTTTAAAGAGGGTAAAATTAAACAGAAAGAACAGATCACAAAGTAACAATGTAAGAAACACAGATTCCAAAGCAGGACAACTGGAGATCTTCACTGTCTATAATATTGTCTCTTATATTCTTCCAAATATTTGTCCAGATTTTCACATAGAATGAACTCATACAAAACAAAATAGTATGAAACGGATCAGAACCCGATGATGAAAGTATTTTAGGTCTTCAAGACCAAAAAATCAGGAAGTCAATAATGGCTGCGATAATGTCTCTCATTCTTTTCAAAATAGATGTTCATACTTTCATGTATGTTGAAATTAAATGAAATAAAACAGAATAAAATCAGTCTGAACAAAAGGTAATAGTATTCCTGGATTTCACATCATGATGCTATAGAATCAGCACTGGGTATCTTAGTGTCTCTTCAAAGTAGCTCTTTCATTTCATCGTGCATTATATTAACGATTTTCATCAGGTTTTTAGAAGTTGTATGCACGCATGAGTCTCTACACATATACCTATCTTTTCTGTATTACAGGGAAAGCAAAACAAACCCAGACACTACAAAACAAATTCACAAAATAACATGAAATGAAAAAGACATATAAACAATAGGAAAGAGCCCAGAACACTGACAAGTATAGGCCTTAAAAACAAGGTGTTATGGGCAAAACTAGGGTTTTTATTTAACATGATGATCTTCAAGAGTTCCTTAGATAGCTATACAATAATATGTACAAATCTCCAATTCCTATGAATGTTAACTATTTTGTTCCAAGAACTTATGGTGTTTGCAGCGCAGTCATGTAAGCTATCATAAGTGTTTCTCTTTACTTTTTCATTATTTTCCCCTTTAAGCATATTGTTTTCCTTTCATTGTGATCATTCCGATTTTTGTATTTTATATACTCTTAACATTTCTTACACTAGGGAGACTAAGGTATTTAGATATGTGACTTTGATTTATTTCTCTTATGAGTATGGCCTCTACTTGCATCTGTTTACTTATGAACTTTTCAATGTTATCATTCTTTATAGCAGAGTAGTACTCCATTTTATAAAATTTCACATCATTAATCCATTCCTCAGTTGATGGGCATTTAGATTGTTTCCAAGACGTGGCTATTACAAATTGTGTTGCTATAAACTTGGATGCACATATACAATTGTGGTATAATGTTGTCAGTTGTTCTGGGAATATGCCCAGAAGTGGGAGAGCTGGGTCAAATGGGACTTCCTAACCCAAGTTTTTGAGGAACCTCCAAACTGACCTCCACAGTAGTTGCACCACTGTACACTCCCAAAAACAGTGCAGAGGAGTTCCTTTTTACACTCAA